TTCCAACATTTGTTTGACATATTCTGGTTCATATTTGCAATTTTTTTCGGAGTCATGTACCACCTATACATCATTTTATAACAATTTTCTCTAACATTAGTACAAGGCGATATCTTAATAGAGTTTTTCCACAAATATTCCCAGGTTTCAATCAAAACTTCCTTATTCATATTTATTGCCCATTTTATCATTTGCTCTTTCACCGTTTCCTCTTCTGTATACCATTTTAACAACACTTTATACATTTTAGAGATATTTTTCCCCCTCCACTCTCCCAAACATTTTCCATTTCATTTTTTTCCTCTCTAAAACCATAATTTCTTTTATCTGATCTAAAAAGATCACAAATTTGCATGTATTTCAACCATTCATATTCATATTCAATTTCATTCTGCTTTTTCATTACCCATTCTGTTCCCTCTTTTTTAATTAAGTCTTTATATGGCAACCAATCCTTGTCTCTATGTCTTGAGTAAGATGTTAACACTTCTACTGGTACAATCCACAATGGTCTTACATCACGAAAATATTTTTTATATCTCATCCATACCACAAACAATGCTTTTCTTACCACATGAAGCTTAAAAAAGCTATCCATTTTTGTCTTATCATACCATAAGTATGCATGCCAACCAAATCTACAATCATGGCCTTCTAACCCCATCTATTAGGTTTTCTCAATGTCAAGTATGGTCTGAACAAAGTAAAGCATTAGTTCATGTTATCCAGGGAGGATGCATTTTGCAAATATGGGACATTGGTTTTTTTTGTCTAAACATCTCCTTCCTCTGCTCAGGCCGAAGTGTAATTTTTCATTTTTTGCACAGTTAACTGGGTTTGTCACATGTAGTGTGTGTCTTGTTTATTGCCACATTTCCCCCCTTTGAGCATTAGTCTATGTGTACCTGTCTCTGCCTGTTTCCCTCCTTGGTCAAGGCTAAATCAAGATCACAAAAGTGAGGAACAACACCTGGTTATAATTTCTACAGGAAGCCAAGCTCTGACCTGGGTTCCTTGTTTTTTCCATTCTTTTTTCACTTTAAATATGTATCTGGATGTCTGTATCTGTCTCTGTCATTTGCCTCTCTCTTTGTAATTGGTTTTCACACTCTGGGTGTGGTTAAAGGTTCCCCCCACTCGCAGGGTTTATCCCAGTGTCGCATACTCTCTGTATTTTTAAAATGTATATGTCATTCTCCACTTCAGCCAGTTGTTCCTGCACTACTCCTGTTTGTGCGTGCCAATGTAGATCTGTCTGTGCCTGTGTCTGTATTTCTGCTTTGCAGCATGCCTCGGGTTTTTGGCTTCCTGTTTTCTTTGTGTCTAGTCCCATCCTCTATCTCTGCTTGTGTGTGTATCCACTGACTTTATTGTGATAATTTGGGCTGGTCTCACACACACACACACACACCCCGCCTCCACCACGCTGACAGGTGTTTACTTGGAGAATTTTTTCCGTTCTGGAAAGTGTTGCCTCAGCAAACTTGGCTTGGAGGCTAAAGACAGTGGGTTTTGTCCCCTGAGGGAATCAATCATCTTCTGGCGAGGAGAGTGAAGACAGTAGCTGTGTTCACTGGAGCAAAGCAACCATCTTCTGAGGAAAGTTTTGGCGGGCTCCGCCTCTGTGGGCAGGACTCAGGCAACGCAGCCAGTGGATAGGGATAGCTTCTGAGTGACACATCATGGAGCCAACTGATTTAGAGGCATGTGAAATGTTCAGAAAGTGCCACCCCACTACTAAATTATATATAAAGAGAGATTGTTTTTAGATAATTTTATGTGGATCTTAATGGTTATTTGTGTATTTTTTGTGTAAGCCGTCTTGAGCCAGCCTTGGCGGGGAGGGTGGGGTATAAATAAAATTAAATAAAACATTTTGTCCTTACTTCAGCCAATATTACTAAGAGCTTGGAGAACTATGTGCTGGGGGGAGAAAGAGAGATGCCGCATCTGCTGTGGCTTTCTTTCTCCCAGCCTTTTACTGGCATTGTATCCTCTGGAGTGTGCATAGAATGTAACCCCAATTAATAAAATATCAAGGTGGATTCTATGCCCCATATTTTAAAAATAACTCACTGCAAGTTGGGGGGGGGGGAGCTAACACACCAGTGAGGAGGTTCCTTGCTGCTCTGGTTTTCTATTCACTGCAAGGTCCCCCCCCCCTTACTTTGTTTTGAAAAATATAATCCTCCCCACACACACACCCCGAATTCACAAGTCTTCTCTACCATCATTTTTTGCTGTACATGTAGATTGTACCACTGCAGGTTTCAAAGTGTGATGTCACCACTGTCCCTAGGGATTTCAGTCTAAATTCTACTATACTGCTTTGACTTTGTCCATTCTAAAGAGAATTGGGTTTTACCTGTTGTTTGTTTATTTGTTTATTTTTATAAAAAGTCATTTTGTGATAGCTCTATGCAGGCAGAAGTGCACTCACACATTTACGCAAGGAGTTACTTCACAAAGTCATTCAACCAGGAGACCTGAGAAGTAGCTAAACCAACATCATACAGGCACCTGTTCTGATATTTCTGAAACTGTATTCTGTAAATATGCTGCCTGTTATTTTTTAGTAGCTTTCTAGACCATTCTTTGTAATGATAACTGGTCACTCACCAACTGTCTTTTACTGGCATTGTATCCTCTGGAGTGTGCATAGAATGTAACCCCAATTAATAAAATTGTCTTACGGTAAATTGTAAACAGTGTCACAGTAGATTTTTATTTCTATTTTGACATGTAGCTTCTTTCTGTCTTGACAGCTCAATGTGGTGGGACAATGGAAGAGATGGAAGGGGTAATCCTGAGCCCTGGCTTCCCGGGAAATTACCCTAGCAACAGTGACTGCACGTGGCGGATATCCCTTCCGGTGGGGTTTGGTAAGAGAAAGCAATTTCAAGTCATGTCAAACTAACCTTATCTCTTTTTTTGAGAAAGTTACTACCTTGCTGGATCAGGGGAATGCTGTAGACATAGTTTATCTTGATTTCAGTAAGGCTTTTAATAAGGTTCCACATAATATTCTTGTTGACAAATTGGTAAAATATGGTTTGGACCCTATGACTGTTAGGTGGATCTGTAATTGATTGACAGATCGCACCCAAAGAGTGCTTGTGAATGGTCCCTCATCTTCTTGGAGAGGAGTGACAAGTGGAGTACCTCAAGGATCTGTCCTGGGACCTGTTTTGTTCAACATCTTTATCAATTATTTGGATGAAGGGATAGTGGGAATGCTTATTAAATGTGCAGATGATACTAAATTGGGAGGGGTAGCAAATATGGTAGAAGACAGAGTCAGGATACAGGACGATCTTGACAGGCTGCAAAACTGGGCTAAAAGAAATTTAATGAATTTCAGCGGGGATAAATGTAAAGTTTTGCATTTAGGTGGGGAAAATCAAATGCATAATTATAGGTTGGGGGAGACTTGTCTTGGCAGTAGTATGTGCAAAAAGGACATAGGGGTCTTAGTAGACCATACACTGAACATGAGTCATCAGTGTGATGCAATTGCTAAAAAGGCAAATGCGATTTTGGGCTGTATCAACAGAAGTATAGTGTCCAGATCACGTGAAGTGATGGTACCGCTTTACTCTGCTCTGGTTAGACCTCACCTAGAGTATTGTGTTCAGTTTTGGGTACCACAATTTAAGAAAGATATAGACAATCTGGAATGTGTCCAGAGGGCAACGAAGATGGTGAGGGTCTGGAGACCAAGTCTTATGAGGAAAGGTTGAAGGAGCTGGGTATGTTTAGCCTGGAGAGGAGATGACTGAGGGGTGATACGATAACCATCTGTGCAGGCTTGAATAAAATTTTATTACAGCATCCAGCCAGAGCAATCCAAACACTTCAGCAAGGAGCACCAAAATAAAATATTACGAATCATACAATATAAAAATATAGAATACATGGTGCAGAGTTGTTTTCTGTTGTCCCAGAAGGTCGGAGTAGAACCAACAGGTTGAAATTAAATCAGAAGAGTTTTCAGCTAAACATTAGGAAGAACGTCCTGACAGAGCGGTTACTCAGTGGTACAGGCTTACTCAGGCTCTCCTTCTTTGGAGGTTTTCAAACAGAGGCTAGATGGCCATCTGACAGCAGTGCTGATCGTGTGAACTAAGGCAAATCATGAGAGGGAGGGCAGGCAGGGTTGCCTCAGTCCTTAGTTCTTGTGGCCCTTTCTTACACTCCCATGGAAATGCTGATTGCCACTTTGGAGTCAGGAAGCAATTTTTCTTCAGGCCAGTTTGTCCAGAGATCCTGGAGGTTTTTGGTCATCTTCTGGGTGTGGAACAGTGGTCACTGTGGGTGTGGGGAGGGAGGTATTTGTGAATTTCCTGCCTTGTGCAGGGGGTTGGACTAGATGACCCCGGAGGTCCCTTCCAACTCTATGATTCTATGATTTCCAAATGAATAAATCTCTGCGTAAATACTTTTGTTAGCCTGACTTGAGCTGGACCAGTTTATGTTTGTCTGCATAGACAGGAGAATGAGGTGGTGGAATCTTGAAGTGGCAGAGTGGACTTTTCCCACTTTTGAATGCTCCTTTCCTCTTCTTTAAACCCTTGTCGGGTTTTTAAAACAATGAAGCAAGAAAGGCCATGTAAACCCATCGTCATTTTTTGACTTGACTGCATCACTGTTCTTTTCCCTCCACCCCCCAAAAAACCCCATGCAGGTGCTCACATCCAATTCTTGAACTTTTCCATGGAGCCCAATCATGACTTTGTGGAAATCCGCAACGGGCCCTATGACACCAGCATCGTTATCAGCAGGTTCAGTGGGACAGAACTCCCAGGTTCCCTTCTCTCCACGTCACACGAAACCACGGTCTATTTCCACAGTGACCACTCACAGAACAAGCCTGGCTTTAAGGTAGAATACCAAGGTAAGTAGGAGGCAGCCAAGTGGGCCACAGATGGTGCAGCCATCCCGTCCATGGGCTCTGAACATGGGATATGTTTTGGAAAGAATGCCTGAAGGACTTGCTCTATAATACATTGTCAAGGGATCACACAAGAACCTGGCTTACTCCAAAAGCTGTTTATAGCTGAACTGGTCCCAAATCCACATTACACCTTTTATTAGTGTCAGCTACATTGACACAAAACGGTGTGCAAGCTTTTGAGTTCTCCCGAACTCTTTCTCAGGCTAGATGTTCCAAAATAAAAAAAGAGGTAAGGAAGAAAAATAGATGTTTTCAGGCCATGATTTTAAATCTCCTGGCCCTCTTCTCCCCACCAATACAGGCAAGATAATCCACAGTGTGTTTTCTGTGCAAGCTCTGCCTTAGAATTCAACCTGTGGCCGGAAGACCTCATTCTAGTTCCAGCTGCAGAGAAGAAAAGCCGTGGTCATTACCTCTCTCCAGAACCATCAAGAGGCCTGGCACAGATCAGCATAAGCACTGGAAACCTATCTCTACACTGGGAGAGTCTACTACATAAGGGGTCTCCATGTGGTGCCTTTGGGCAGCATGGTGCTGGCTGACACCTTTCCTGGCACATGCCAAGTGTTCTTTGGAACTGAGTGAACTTTTGCCCAGCAGGGCTTCTGACCAATGTTCCCTCTAAGCTATGGAGTCCTGTGAGCAAGAATTCTACTTGGTGAGCTGATGCAACATCAGGGAAGGACTCAGGGCTATTTTTGGGCAGGAACGCACAGGAACGGAGTTCCGGCTGGCTCCCAAGTTGGCCACACCCAGCAGGAACTCGTTAGCATAATAGGCCACACCCAACAGCAGGAACTCATTAGAATTGGCTACATTAGGGGTGTGTGGCCTATCATGCAAAGGAGTTCCTGCAACAAAAAAAGCCCTGGGTTTTGACAACAAACAAGGTAAACGGAATAAGAAGCAAAAGGTGGGTGTGGCTGGATGACCACACTTCTGGTAACATGGGAATGTAGCCTAAAATCTAATGAGTGGTGCAGTCAGGGGGTGTGGCCTAATATGCTAATGAGTTTCTGCTGCTGGGTGTGGCCTATTATGCTAATGAGTTCCTGCTGGACTTTTTCTACAAGAAAAGCCCTGGGGAAGGTGATGGCCCTCCAGTGCAGCTAGTTGGGCTGCTGCATGAAACAGGATGCTGGATTAGGTAGACACCTGGTCTGACCCAGAAGGCCTCTTTGTTATGTTCTTATGTGTGTACACTCTGCCGGGGCACTGTACCCAATAGAAAAATTCACAGCATTAACTTTTTTGTCACTAGATTTTCTTCCCCTACGCTTGTTTTTGCACCCACAGGAAAGAATAATAGGGAAAGGAGACCAAGGGGTTTAATATCTTTCTCAACATAGTTGAAAAATCAGTTTGGAGGAGGGTGAAATTGAGCCAGAAATTGTTTGGAGGGGGAAGATTTTAGCAACCTGTTTCCAGCTTTCCTCCTTCTGTCCAGATGGTTTGGCTACAAAGAAACCCAACAACAGAGGAAAGAATCACAGGATTCTGAGCTTCAGTTGAACTCCAAGGTTCTCTGATTAATGAAGAGAAAAGATCTAGGATCTTCACTTAGAGCTGAGAGGATTCCTCCAGCTTTGTCCCTATTAGGAATCCCTCTACCTTTCATCCAGGGGTTTCAATCTGATGATCTTTTATTAAATTTCATGGGATCAGAATGTGAGGGTTAAAGGGAGAATGCTTTCCCCCTGTTTCCCAGTGTTTTGGATAGGAGGGAGTGGGTGCATAAAGGGGGGTGGGGGTTTAATTCCATGAGTCAAGGCATCTGCAAGCCCAAGAATCAGAGATCCTGGAAAACATGAACGCTTGTGTTGTGGCGACCAAACAAAATGATAGCCATCCCTTCAACAGTAGCCCTATTTGCCAAAAATAAACAAACATAGTATCTTCAGCCAGCCAGCAGCTAATTTAGTAGTTAAAAAAAAAAGCCTAATCATCCACTCCTGCCAGATGGAATAAACAATCAAAAATAATAGAAATCCCTTTAAATGTTGAAGAGGGCTCTATTTGCTTTTGGCCTGTTTTTATGTTACAGAAGTGTACAATTATGTTCTACAGTATCATAGAACAAAAAAAAGAGTAGAAACCTTTTCAATATTAGCTATTTGTATTTTAAAAAGCAAAAAACAAAAAATCTTTTTCGGGCATAAAGAGGTAGTTGTGAAGTGGTTTGTTTCAGTTATCTTCTTTTTATGTGTGTTTTGCAACACATGATTGTGCCATTCCAGGGATCACTGAATTTGGAGTTACAGATATGGGGCGATGGGACTTCACAGAAAATCTATGGGACTTTCCCCACATGTTCACAGCCTATGCAGACACAGAGAAACAGCTGGGGGTGGATTGAAACACTCCGAAAGTGTAAATCCCTGTTATTAATCCGATATCCTGTGGATTGGGTTTCAATCTGGAAAGCAATCAGTTGCAAAATCCACCCCAGAAGGCTTTTATGACCATGCCTGTCTCCCCAATGTTTGGGAGGAGAACCCCTGCCCGACTTATTGTCAGGTTCCCGGTTCAATCAGTTCTCAACAACAGCCAGTTGTAGAAAGCTAACTTTATTGAGACAGTTGATAGATACCATCCTAGACACATCTATTGTTTGGACTGAAGCTAAATGGGGGAAGGTTACAGATATAGGGGATTCAAGTAAAAGCACTAAAGATCAGGACCCAATCACCCCCCAGTATTTTGCCTGCCAGAAGTAACTGTCAGCTTCCCCCCCCTCTCCTAAGGGCACATAGCCTTACATATCAAGGAAGTAAGATCACAGACATGTGAGAAGCCAGGCCGTTTGGCATTGCGAAGGTGACAAGCCCCAGACACTTCAAATGGAGGGAGGGAGCCTCCTCTCTCAATGACAGGCACGCTGTAAACTGAAAGATGCACAGAGAGCCTGACACTTTGCCACATAGATCTGCCTTTAAAGATTATAAATCCCAGGCCCCTATAGACCCAGAAGAAGTCCAAAGGCAGCCTTGCTGAAAGAGTATGCTCCACTCTATTGAATAGTCAAAGGGGGGGGGGGGGAAGTGACATCTTTTGTTTGGCTGCACCCAAAAGAAGTGGGACCCAGGGGTAGACACCAACAGACAGAAGATGTTCACAAACTTTGAGGAAGGATTATATTGAAAGAATTCCTGACTCTTTTGGTTTCTAGCCTATGAACTCCAAGAGTGCCCTGACCCTGAACCCTTTGCCAATGGGATTGTGCGAGGAGCTGGTTACAGCGTGGGCCAGTCCATCTCCTTTGAGTGTCTTCCTGGCTATCAGCTGATTGGTGATCCAGTCTTGACCTGTCAACATGGAACAAATAGAAACTGGGACCATCCCTTGCCCAGGTGTGAAGGTACGTCTTTATTGAGTCATTTTTTGGAAGGGTGTCTGAGTGGGCAGAGAGTAAGGGGAGAAAAAAGATAGTTGCTTGCTTCCAAACATAACCTCTGGCAACGCGTATTACCTTAGATGTAGACATTTATCTTTGATTCATAAATCAGTTTTAACAGATATATACATCTATAATTTAATATGCTCTTTAATGTGCTCTTTTTTCATGCCCCACCCAGTGTACCCAGTGTAGACAGAAAGCTTTCATCCTCCAGTGTTTTCTCTGGAAATTGAAAGTCCAGCAGCACCGTAAACACTAACAAAATTAATTCCAGCACGAGTCAGAGGTGACTGCATTGGATGCCTGAATAGCACATCCATTAGGCAGATAGAAAAATGTGCAAAAGAATGTATCTGCCTAATGGGCGTACATTCTACGCATCTTATGTAGCAAGGGTTGACTCATGAAGGGTTTGACTCATGAAGACTCATTTTGTTAGTCTTATGCGCCTGCACTCTTGTTTGATTTTGCTGCTGCAAACTAACATGGCTGCTCATCTGGAATGGTTTTCAGGGAGAAGCTTCCTTTTGGGCTCCAGAATTCTCTGGATGTAGAAAAGAAAAAAAAATGCATCTTCTAGATCCAGGGGTGGAATAGGAAGGAAAAATGGCCCTGGAAAACACTCCACCCCAATCCCACCCCTGCCAAGGAGGCAAAGGCAGTCTGTCTGCCCACCACTGGCACGTTCCAGCCCCACCTGCCCAAAAGATGGAGGGAGAGATAGCCAGCCCTTTCAGTATGATGGGCACAGCCTCCCTTCTCACTGCATCAGTCCAGGCTGAGCACAGCCCTTCTATAGGTCCATTGGGCTAGTGCAGCCCAGTTGGGGGGGGGGCATTGGACCACCAGGGAAAGTCCTGGGGTCTATAATGGCCATTCCATTCCTGCCTAGATCCCACTCATTCAGAAAGCTGCAAAAGTTCTCTTGCACATACCATGGAGTTCATTGGATCTGTCTGTTATTCCTCCCTTCCTTGTAACACACATCAGTAACTTCCTCTCACACTGCCTGCCACTTCTGGCCCATCTCCTGGTGGTTATTTAAAACACATCATCACTTTCCCAGTGATTTGTGTGGCCTGAGAGATGACTGTCGGCCCCTGGACAGACAGCCTTCACTTTATGGTCTCCCTGTCCTCTTTTTCAAGCCTTCTCCCCCCTGTTACATGATTAGAAGGATGTTTTACTATCCTAAATAAGTTTTTCTGCCTTTCCATATTCAAGCGGCTCTCAGAGTCAGACATTTATGACGAGGCAGGCGGCAGAGTAAATAAGGTAGAAGGAACGGGCCTTTGATCACGTCCTTGCCTCGCGTCTTTTAACACCCACCTTGCTGCGCTAGAGTACGTTTAATGACTCACCCCACGCTGCTCCCCTTGCTGAGAGGCAGCCTTTACAGCCATGGGCTGGGGAAGAGTAGTCAGCACGCCCTTTTCATCTTTCCTGCCTGGGCAGCACCGTGGTTCCTGAATGCTGCAGACTTTTTGTCTTGGGAGCGCTGAGTTCTTTTTGATGATCTTTTGATGAATGGGCCGTGTCTATCAGTAGTTTTCAAACAGTGCTCATGGGATTCCTTAGATAGTGCACAGCAGCCTCACGATGATGATAAGTGGTGATGGACAAGCTTCCTTGGAAACCACTCCCCCTTCAACCAATCCCTCCCTTGCAATGTACACCCTCCTCAGGGTGTGTTCCAGGGCAAGCTCTCTAATCACATGAGTCCCAACACATCCGATCAGTGACACTGTGCATTCCCCAGAATCCTGTTGAGGGACCTGACCAGGCCCTTGGTCCCAGCCGATCTTCAGGCAAGGGGCAGTTGGATATTCAGCTGCCCACCCCTTGGACTGTACCTAGGGCTGCACGCCCTATAACAGGCAGGGCTGCTAAAAGCCACCATTCATTCCATGAATGCAGTATGATGCTGGCTTCAGGAACTCTCTAGCCGATGTGGCCTCAGGAATTTTGTCTCCCCAGTCTCCCCCCTCAGCAGCCCTGACAATAGGCCAGCTGCCCTGGTAGTGAAGTATTTCCCCTTTTGTTCCCAATATCTGGACATTCCCGAGTGTCCTCCCACCCTGGTTCCCCAGGAGATAGGCGATCACCATGCAGCCCACTTAAAGCCTTTGACTACCAGTAGTCACAGGAGCGGTGGACTTCCGGTTGGTGGATTGGCAATGGTGGTCGCTCTCCCCAGTTCGCGGGGAGGCGATTAGCACACCAGCGGCAAGGAGGGGTGCTGCCTCAAGCGGCACCCCCACGGAGCCCTTGTGATGGGTTAGAGGCCAGGGGGCTTCTGAGGGTTAGCCTCTTCGATACTGCGATGCCGGAGAATAGAGGCTTCCCTCCGCCCTGACGGTCCTACCGCTGAGTGACCATATGTATAAGCTAATTCGACCGGGACAAGCGCAGGAGATCGAGCAGAACAATGAATGAGAGAGCGAGGTCTGCGAAAGGACCAACAATGAACGTGAGTTCGAGGTAAATGGACTATTTTGATAAAATGGAGTACCCTCCCCTGTGGGAAAAGTGGAGAGCAAGGAGGGACGCCTCTTGAGCGCAGAGACATATCAATGCAGCGAAGGGGGTAGGGGGGAAACAAACAGCAAGACTATATTGAGAGATTTACTTGAGTACCAATAGCGAAAAGACGAGTCTTTCGAGCCCTGACAAAGCGGTTTGAAATTGTAAACAAAGAGGGAACATGGCGGCTTCCCAAGGAAAGTTTAAACTGAAACCAGGCAGCCAGAGTCCAAGACCGGAAGAGGGAGCAGACGTCATGAAGCTGTTAGCGGATATGCTGAAGCCAGTAATGGAGCAACTCGGTGGTATTAACCAGCAACTGGCTACATTAAATCAAAACTTTGCTCAACAGCAGTGCCAGCTGGCAGAAACGGAGAAGAAAGTGGTGCAAACTACTGAAAAAATTACAGAAATGGACACCGCAAATAAGAAAGTGAAGAAAAGAGTGACAGATGTGGAAACAACACAAAAACTTCAGGAAACTCATTTGTTACAGCTGCAAATGGAAAAGGCTAATATGACTCTTAGATTTCAGGGAGTGCCTGAAACTGAAAAAGAAGATTTGAAGAAGACTCTGGGCGAGATTATTGCTCTGGTAACAGGCTTATCAGCGGAGGAGATAATAAAAGATATGGAAGCTGCCTATAGGACATACTCCATTATATAAAGAAAAATAGCCTGCCTGGAGAGATTGTGGTTAGATTTGCAAGAAGATGCAATATTAAAGGCAACTTCGGCAAGCCCATTGAAATCTGGGAATATAATCATCAGAACTTTAAAAAATATTCCATTTGAAATACGTCAAAAGAGGAAAAACTCCAAGGAGCTCATCTCATTTCTTCAAACTAATGGAATTCAGTATCAGTGGGTGATTCCTGAATATGTAATTTTTAAAATCAACGATAAAAGAGAGAAGATTGACTCCATTTTCAAAGCTGAGTTTTTGAGATGTCAGCTGGGATCAGAGGAAGACCTTAAAGATGAAAAAACTAAATCAAGTGACTCTGCTACTTCTGGAACGGACGAGGGCTCTGTGGGCGAAGCAGGAGCGGGAACAGGGAAAGCTGTATATGACTTTAAAGACAGAAAACCGAAGTAAGGGCAGAAGGACTCTGTAAACCACCCTTTGAAGCAAAGAAGATGCTCAAGAAGTACTCTCATAAAAACTAACTTACTAACATAGAAGTGTAAAACAAGAGCTCTACAAGTATATTGTGTGACTAACACTTGTATTACTGACATTTAGCTTAACACAGAAATGATCTCCTTCTCTTGGGTTTTTAGTTAGTGTGGGTATCTTTCCTTTATCCCTAGTTGTAGTCCCTTCCTATATTTTTCATTGTAGTTCAGTAGTCTTATGAAAAATAATAAAATTTCCCCCTCGGGGTTTTTTTTTTTTTTTAAAAAAGTAGTCACAGGAGCGGTGTAGTCTTTGTACCTTACACTCGGGCAGAGACAGGGCCAAGACAGCCAATGAATCTTGAAAATCCTAAGAAGCCACGAGTTCAGAATGGAGAAGGAGAGAGAGGCAGAACTGCTGGACCTGAGTTCTACCACTCAAGACCCAGGGTCACAACCCTACCAGGCCTTCTGGCCACTGTCAGGTCTGATTTCCTGCAGAGACTGACATTTGTTTTATGACTTGGGCTGTTTGACTATGGATCCTTAACATTCCCTCCACCACCCACACACTGATGCAACACACAGTTGTTCCATGATAGTCCAGAGTTTCTCAGCAAGACAAGCCTCTACAATGTGCCAAAATTGCAGGGACAAAGTGTGGCAACTGTTGTCCTATGTTCCAGTGAATCATTTCTACATTGTTTTATAGCATGCATGGTGCCCTACTGCAGATAACTTGGCAGGGGAGCATGCAGCCCACCCTTGCTTCATTCCTCTTGCTGTTCCCTGCCCCACTGGTTTTCCCTGCCCCTTACTACTGCCTGCCCACCTGGCTGATTGCCACGTCTGTACTGCCTTTCTTCTTGCTGCTCTTTGGAACTGAAAAAAATCTGTTGTGAAGGGGCAGAGGCTGAAAGTTCAAGGGCCTCACACTTCTCTTCCCTTTCCTTCTCTATCATTTCTGAAACTGAATCTTCACAATGCTTCATGCAGAAAAATACGGAAGTCTCCCTGGAGGTGAAGATACTGAATTCTGGATTTCATAGAGAAATTCAGGAACTTGCCCCAGTGTAACATTGGGTATCTTTGGAATGGCAGTGAGCAATGAGCAGCCCATGGAAGTGGTTCAGAAAATTCAGTTGCTACACAAAGCCAGCAAAGGTGGAGCTGTTAAGTTGGCAAAACCAGTATTGAAAACCATCACTAATTCAAAGTGCTGGGTTTAGCCCATAAAAACCTTAACAGTCTGGATCCTGGATCTCTGAAGGTGCATCTGAAGCCGAGGTGGTTGAACAAGGAACTCTCTGAAGAGCTGAGACTAAAAAGGGAAATGTACAGGAATTGGAAGGAGGGTCAGATTACTGAGGGTGAGTACAAGAAGCAAGCTCGAATCTGTAGGGATGGTGTCAGAAAGGCTAAAGCGCAGATGGAGCTGAGGCTTGAGAGGGATGCTAAAAACAACAAGAAAAATTTCTATGCCTATGTCCGGAGCAAAAAGAAGAACAGGGATGGAGTAAGCTCATTGCTAGGGGAAGACGGTCAAGCCTTAAGAAGGGATGAAGACAAAGCAGAATTACTCAACTCTCACTTTGTGTCAGTCTTTAACCGTAAGGCGAGCTGTATGCAAACTGAAGAATGCAAACTGAAGAAGGAAGGAGAAACTGCCAGTCCAGAGTAAGGAAATGGTTAGAGAGCATCTAGCTGCCTTAAATACTTTCAAATCTCCAGGGCCAGATGGCTTGCATCCCAGGGTGCTAAAAGAAATTGCAGATGTTATTTCAGAGCCTCTGTCTCTAATCTTTGAGATGTCCTGGAGTACTGGTGTTGTGCCGGAAGACTGGAAAAGAGCAAATGTTGTCCCAATCTTCAAGAAGGGGAAAAAGACAGCCCCGGGAAATTACAGGCCTGTCAGCTTGACATCAATACCTGGGAAAATTCTAGAGCAGATTATTAAACGCTCTGTCTGTGAGCACCTTGAATGGAATGAGTTAATTGGTAGTAGCCAGACCAACCTTATCTCCTTTTTTGACAGAGTTACTAAAATGGTTG